ATAATACCCAGGGATGTTCTACCAAATCTTTTTGCAAAAGGGGTTATCAGCCAGGTTGACAAGGAAGAAATTATCGCTGAAGAAACTAATCATGGCCCCCAAGTAGCTGCCCTGATGCTGATAGACAGAATATACCGTCATAAGCCTGGCTGGTACAGAGACTTTTTAGAGGTATTAGAAGCAACTGGTTATGAACATCTTGTAAAGGAAATAGATCCAGACTTTGTTTCAGGTAATGGTATATTGCTTTTTAGCATGTTTTTATAGTCAAACAATTGGATTCTATTTTATTTTTTATTTATTTATTTTTTTTACTGAAATAAAGATATTAATGGAAACATAATTGGACAAACTAAATGGTTATTTGCTATAGCTGAAAGCCAGATTTTAAAAGACTCAAACTACAATCTGCATCTATAAATATTGCGGATTGCTAGTCTTGTTTTAATGTGCTCTGTACCAATGCAAAACTTGCTCAAATATATCTGAATGGGAAGATGAAATGAGCAGTAGAAGCTAGTAATGGCATTGAGGGGACATTTGGGTGATAACACTAGTAAATGTAATTAATTGGTGCTACATGTCATTTCCACCCCAGGAATGGAGACTTTGGGTGAAGAGAATAGACAGTTTTCACACAAAGAATTGCTTCGGGTATTTGAACCAGCATTTGTGATGAATCTTATCCCATCGCATCTTCTGCCTTTTTGTCCATTCCTCCGTGAATCTCAACACGCAATCTTGAGAGCAGAAAGGACCAGCTCACCACAAAAAGCAGTGATGGAGCTCTTTGAAAAGTTACAGGCAGTAGATGAAGTGAAAGAACCAGGGTGGTTTCAATCATTTCTCGATGCACTGGAATCAGCGGGTAATTCATGTGCTTTTTACATCAGAACATGAATTGTACATGTAGGTAGTCTACATTAAATTTTTGTGTTGATAGCATTGAGGGTACTGTAAGGGTTTGTTATCATCCAGATACCGAATATGAGTTATTTCTTGCATTCAATAATTCAGTAATACATATATACCTTTGTGCTGATTAAAAAAAAAAAAATAAAAACCCCACCAAAATTATAAAATATCAGCATTTATATTTCTTGTTGCTATGTATAAGCAAAGGCAATTCAAAGCTTTCATTTAAAAGCATTTACCACTACCAGATAGATTCCTAGCACCAAACAAAACCACTCTGAATTTAATCTAAAACAGAAATATTGTTTGGTACAAATGTTAATTGAAGAGACAGGTTTCTATCTACATTGGCTAGGTGCCTGGCAAGCCATTTATTTGAACTATTTGTTTAATGATATAAAATAAAAAGGAAATCTTTTTATCAAGAACTACGGGTGTTTTATACCTTGGGTAGCATGGCCTTGTTGCATGGTACACTAACAAGATAATAATTTATTAAACCAATGAAATATACAAAATGCATACTATTGAGCATCTTTTGCTTTGTAAAAGCATTTATGTTATGAATTCCTACAATCTTCTGCATGAGTGTTGTACCTGATGTTGATATGAGATTATAAAGTTAAACATAATTTAGTGCTTCATTTCATATTCATTTGCATGGGAATGTTGCCTGTAAAAACTACAGTATGACAAAGTTGTACAAGTGTATGTAACTCAGAGCATGAAATAACAACATTGAAAAGAAGCATATTTTTTGGTTTGAAATATAATAAAATCAAGTAAACGATTAAAGAAATAGCTGCAATGAGGTAATAAATACCAGGGAGTGGCATGAAAATGATTTTAAGCTCAGCTTTATTTTACAGATACATTATTTAGTTTAAAAAACAAAATATTACAATTGCCAATTTTATCATGTTTATCAGTGGATGTGAGGAACTAAACTGTTTGAGGGTGTTGGGGCTGTTGAGGCAGTTAAAACTGTTTTTGTTTTGGAGTAATGAGCCCCTTATTACAGATTTTCATTTAAAAAAGATGTTATTTTGCTTTATCAATAATCAAACCTGAAAGATGGCTTTAAAGAAAAATTGCTGGCAGTGTTTTGAAGCACAATTGGTGTCATAAAACTGGCTTTAAAATTGTGTTTGTGGTTGCTCAGGTAAAAGAGAAATTTGAGAAACTGATATTCAATTTTTACAACAAAATTGCAACTATGACATCACCCGTAAGATGATATGTGTAAAATTGTTAATAAATTTAGTCACTGAACACTGGGGATTTATCTGTTATCCAAAAGAATGTATGCAAGGCAGTAAATAGTTTTTGACAAAAGTTAACAATATAAAATGAGACTATAGCATTTGTGTTTTCAACCATAATGTTTTGAATGTTTACTTTAATCTGCCTTTATTATTATTCTATTTTTTGTAGAATTTTTCACCTTGGCCAACCTACTGCAAGACACTTTGACACATTCACCAGAGACTGATGAAAACTGCAAGCATATCATCAATGTATTCACTCCTCTTCTCTATGAAAATATAATACCCAGGGATGTTCTACCAAATCTTTTTGCAAAAGGGGTTATCAACCAATCTGACAAGGAAGAAATTATGGCTGAAGAAACTAATCATGGCTCCCAAACAGCTGCCCAAATGCTGATAGACAGAATATACCGACATAAGCCTGGCTGGTACAGAGACTTTTTAGAGGTATTGGAAGCAACTGGTTATGAACATCTTGTAAAGGAAATAGATCCAGACTTTGTTTCAGGTATCAGTATATTGCTTTTAAGCACACTTTTATAGTCAAATGAAAAGGATCCGATGTTTTGTTTTTTTAAAATTGAAATTAGGATTTAATGAAAATTGTGATTAAGGCAAACTAAACAGCTGTTTGCTATTATTAAAAAGTGTATTTTTATACGTGTGACTTAAAAAGCTGTCTACATATATATATAAATACTGAGGATTATATTATATGTTATATTCATTTATGAGTCATTAACTTGACAGTATTTTTGATAAATGCTACAGGTGTAAAGGAGACCCTAGATGCTGATGGTGCAAATGGGAGTGGTGGAAATAATGGTAGGTAAATTTATTCAATCATTTGAATCATTTTAAGTTGCAAGCTCAAAGGTGGAGAGAATGGTATTTTAACTTGTATAATTCAGATTCTACAAGTTTAGCGTATAAAGTAATAATATTGGTGCTCCCATGCAATCATGTGACAGCTCCATTTACACAGCATAACACCTACAGTATATGTATCTGTTGAAGAAGGCAGACAGATGCTGCTGACAGCAGGGGTGGATCCACAAATATTTTCTGACAGTCTTTCAAAGTAACTTTGTTCACAAATCCTCCATTTCTTCTGACAGAAAACATTAGATGCTCATCAATATAAACCTGAAAATTTTTGACTGTCTTCAGGAAAACCGAGAAGACCGCCTCCATCTGCCTCTAAACAGTTCCATGTGGAAAACCCCTTAAGACCATCCCGGGCCCCCACATGACATTAAATAACTTTTTATGATAAAATAACCCTAGGGTTTTCGGCACAATGGGTTCACATCTTTGGATAATGCTCTCTGTAATCCTGCTACAGAGATTCCAAGGTTCCTTGTCTTAAACTCTGCGCACGTAAAAGAATGAAACGACTCCATGTTGTAACTTCAACAGAATATATTTTGCTACACTAACAGTTACATATGGTACAAGCCTCTCTCTCCTCCTCTCTGTCTTCTATCCAGTCTCACCTATACATATTACTCTTCCATCTTCTCTCTATATTTAAGTTTACAGATTTTTATACTAAACTTTATCAATTAAACTGTCCATCACATACCCAGCGGGCAAATCAACATTGAATCAATGTTGAGTCAACGTTGATGGTCAACGTTGAAACTATGACTGTAAATTGTGATTTGATATTCTGAACTTGCAGTAGGCTCTTCTATGCTCTGCTATGGACACAAAAGATAAGTATTCCTCAAATACCAAATCTAGTTTAAATGAGCTGTAGGTCCTTAGCTTGCCTGATTCGCGCACTGAGGAATACCAATTCTGCCTGCTTATATCCATTAATCGTTGTCTAAACTGTTCTGTAAAAAGTGCCACATTTCCACATCCTTGGTTTTCCCATACTACTCCAAATCCATATGAATATAAAAGATGCTTGATGTCACTCGCCCATGTTTTCCTCCCACTACTATCTAAATCAAACAGTAACTTGTAACATGATTTCGGTAGCCTACCGTCGTCCATACATAAAAACTTGAACCAATACTTAATACATTTGACATGGTAATCTATGTATAGAGGGTAACGACCACATTCCCCAAGAACTGCTTGTGTGCTTGCATTATCCGATACCATCAATAATCTTTTACAAAACTTAACTTGAACATTCTCTATTGATTCGGATATTTCATAACCCCATATTTCTGCTCCATATGTAAGTATGGGTTTTATCATTGAATCAAATATCTTAAAACATAAGACGTGGGGCAAAGATCCCACATTTTTAAATAACCTGAAACATCTTGCCATAGATTTCTTTGCTTGAGTTGCTAAAGTTTGTTTTGCTTTGGACCAAGACAGCTTTGGAGTAAACATAACACCCAAATACTTATAATGCGATACAGTCTCTAACTCCACGCTGTCAAAAAACCACTTCTCGTTATGTCTAAGGTAACCACCATTTCTGAAAACTATTACCTTGGTTTTATCAAGATTCACATTCATGAGCAATACCTATAGGTGGTTAGAATTTCAAACACACTGTGACGGATTTCAGCAGGAAAACGAAGCAGTTTAAGTTTTTGATGCTGTCGTCGCAAATCAAATTCTCTCCAGTAAATATGAACGGGGATATTTCTAGGAAATTCTACTGGAATAATATTTGTACTTTATCAAGAGTGTATGCTCCACAGCATTAGTGCGCATGCAGTGGGCATGTGTCAGTTTATACACTAAAACACTAGTGAGCACTGCTACATACATGATCTCACAATATAGATATTTGTATTTACGAACCTAATAAATCCTTATGTGCACAGTATTACCTGATGTAATCAATACAAAATATAATTAAACAAATAAACATAAAAGTGAAAAAAGGTAACTTTTCGTTGACTCGTTAAAACAAATCACGTGGCAAATATTTATAAAAACGAAGATCCAATAGTCACAAGTTGGATTACTTTACACATTACTTATGAATTACAGGGGAGCCTCCGTGTTGTTTGCAACCCCGCATGTATTCCTCAAAGGTTCATAGTCGGCACTCGGGCCTCTGCTGGCCGTTCCATCCGTGTTCTGATACAGACTATCTCCAGAACTTCGACATTCAGGTGCCCTTTCACCCTGGGCAGCTTCCGATAGTTGAAGACCTTGATTGACGTGACCCCGGCTCCTCCCATTTGAGGGCACTCGGTTCCTTCGCTTGAAGAAGCATGTCAGCAACATAGCGATAGTAGCGACAAATGCCAGGAGGGCGACAACGGCGACGGATACCGACACCGTTGTGAAAGTTTGAACGATGTCGAGGTCCTTTTTGATACCGGATATTTGGGCTGAATTGACGAACGAAGCCTCGGGCGTCCTGACAATGTTGCAGCTTTCAAAACTTTCGTCTTCAGACGTGCAACCATCTAGGGGATATGAAGACAATGACTGGCCGTATAGCTCTCTTGGTAGATAACACGATCCACTAAAACTTACCCTTGAGCCGAAAGACGCTGACAGTTTTCGAACCCAGGCCAAACGACAATCGCAATTGAAAAGGTTGCTTGAAATGTAGGAGTTCTGAAGATATGCCTGTAAGTTTGCAACCGTACACTTGTCAAAGGTTTCAAATTTATTGCCTTCCAGGTTAAGATTCTTTATGGACTGAGGAACAAAGAGGATCGGGGTAACTTCGTGTATAAGATTATAACTTAGGTCTAGTTCCTCCAGATGGCCAAAATTTTGGAACGACATCCGTTCAAGAGAAGCTATTTTATTGTGGTCCAGGCTAAGTTTTCTTAACTGTACCAGTTTGACAAATTGACCATGATTTAATTCTCGTATTCCATTATAGCTTAGGTCAAGTTCTATCAGCTTTTCCATTCCTGATATTGCATCAGGTATGTCTGTTAAAGACAAACTAATTTGGGAGAGCCTGAGAATCCTTAACGACTTCTGATTGGCAAGAACGTTCAGGGTAGAAACGACACTGGGATTTCGACTTAGATCTAGGATTTCCAACTTCTTTAGATTGAGGAAGACGTTGTCCGACAAAGAGTTCAGATTACAATATTTCATGTTTAGATAGGTCAGATTTTGAAGCAAGCCAATACCCAGAGGTATTTCATACAGTCGATTATTATAAACGTCCAGCCACTCTAAAGAGGAGGGTAGATTGCCAAATGACGTCACTGAACTTTGGTTGAGGTTACAGCTTCTGAGAGACAATTTCCTTAAATAAGTCAGGCGCTGCAAGGATGATGGGATACTACTCAATAGATAGTTGTTGTCAAGCCACAGCGACCGGAGTGATGTCAGGTAACTAAGATAGTTTGATGGGTCACCAGTTATTCTATTGCCTGCAAGGTCCAGCTCCTGTAAAGCCGTTAGATATGACAAGACTGAGGGGACGGTGGTAAGGTAGGAGTTCCGGAACAACAAAGTTCGCAGGCTGTTCTCTACACCGCCGTAATAGAAAGCCCACCAATCTATAGAAGGACTGCTGCCTAGCGTGTTCCTTATGTCTACACGTATGATATTAGGGATATTTTGAAAAGCGCCACTGTTGATAGTAAGTGTAGAACTCGGTGAAAAAGAACTGACTTGAAATAAATCGACCGTATCATTGGTAGCCGTAAAGTGCGAATGATCTATAAAATACTCATTGTAAGGGTTGCAGTAAAATCTCCATTTAGTCTGTCCTTCTTCAGTATAATTAGCACAGTCTGAGCAGTAGGGATTGATGGAACATGCCCCTTGGCATATTGAGGGTACAGCGACTAGCAAACTTGCACAGAAAAGAAATAGACCTCCTAGAACCATTTTGTTACGCTGAAGTGAAAAATTGAAATACCAACACAAATTATTCTGCATTGAATGAAAGAGGTGAACAAATACATGCTATTTGTATTAAACGACACTGACAGTTTTGAAGCTGTTTTAGGAGGCAATTATGCACACAAATACCAATTCCATACATTTAATAGTTTTCAAAACAAGACCTATTTCTGATTGAAGGCTACACTCTTAACGTAAAAAGAAGGCACACAGATGTATAAAAAATACTTTGTATTTTTAGACCCATTACATTATTTCAGGTGGAGGGGGGGGGGGGTAAAACAAAAGTTGGTATAACCCCCCCTACACCGTAATAGATCTAAAAGACAAAGCATTATTTTTTAAAATTGTAACCCCCCCCCCCAATCCCCTGTACCCCAATACGCACCCTCTGAAATTTAGTTTGCGATATTTTAGCATTTTTTGCATGTTTTCCATGGTATTTGTCCCTCATAATGTACCAAAAGTTCAGAAAATTACATTCCTTTATTTTTAATCCAAAAATATCAAAACAAAACCTGTCTAACTAGCATAGCTAAAAATCACTACAATTTGCCAATTTAATCAACACTATAATCATTGAAAAAGTGTGTTTTATCTCATTTCATCCGTTGTCTTTATGTATATTTGGGTTGGGGACTGGGTGCTCAAGATTAGTCAAATATTAACTTTGCCTTTTACACAATTGTTTTCCTTCCCCTGAGTTGAAGTCACCTTTATAACCTGAACAGATGTACGCTTCTTGTTTTTGTGTTCTACCTTATGTGTTTTTGCATTCGAACCTCTGTAAATTTTTGACAATTTAGCTGATAAATTTTATATAGACTTACCTGATAGGATGTGGCATCCAGTCTTGGCAAAGAGTTGAACAAGGAAGTAATGTCGCAGAAAATGTGCTTTTCACAAGATGTTTTTTTTTAGCTTTTCTATTCAAACGTCTGAGGATTCCTTTGCAAAGAATGTTTTTGTTCTGTAGGGAAATTCTTTAGCTAAACACGTGGTTCTTTTCAAAAGAGTAAGAAACGTTGAAAATCAGTATACAGCAGGTAGGTCAAGCGTTCACTAGTATTCCTACTAGTCTGCGTAGACGGTGCATGGTGATAAAGTATTGAGGCATAGGGGGTGTTCCCTTACTCAATCAGCCCTTTTTGTGTTTTTCGTTTGTTTTTTTTTNAACACCAGCTGAAAAAGAACCCATGAATTCTAACACGAATACGGACTCCTCAGGAAGGACAGATGCAGTGACACTGAAAAAAGAAATGGGACTTCTACAAGGAGTCGCTATTATAGTTGGGACGATCGTTGGAAGCGGCATTTTTGTCTCCCCAAAAGGCGTTCTTCAATACTCAGGTTCGGTGGGAGCATCCCTCATGTTATGGGCGGCATGCGGTGTGGTCTCCCTGGTTGGAGCCATGTGTTATACTGAACTTGGAACATTTATTCTAATCTCAGGCGCGGACTACGCATATATCCGTCATTCTTTTGGGAATTTTGTAGGGTTTCTCTTCTTGTGGGTATTACTAGTTATAATTACACCGACCAGTAATGCTATCATAGCACTGACTTTTGCTAACTACATGATCCAGCCTTTTTTTCCTCATTGTCCGAATCCAGAAATCCCCACACGGCTCTTGGCTGCTGCATGCTTGTGTAAGTATTGGCATATGGAATGGTCACTTCCTAAAGAGATTTTGAGGATAATTATTTTTTATTATCAAATGACAATAACTGATGTATGAATTATGTGATATGTAACAAAAAAAAGGTTATTTTTATCATTGACAAAATATGATTTTAAAGTGCTATTGGGAACAAAAAGTTGGAATAATCAACATGAACACTCCAATTTATTCACATGCTTTTTATTTTTTCTTGTTTACCAATGTGTTAAGCACAGTTTACAATAGTGTTTACAACAGTGATGGCGTTTCAATTTTCCTAAAAAACTCAGACTGCAGGACATGTCCATCATGAATTGAAAATGTCCGACATGCAACGTTAGCATGTCAGTCACAATGTCCGTACTGTCGGATGACAGCATTTGAAATACTTAGTCCTCGCCCAGTTGTACGTGCTTTTTACCACTGAATGAAGTTCTTCAGCGCGAAAGATAGGTCATGCATTGATAGTTGCAAGTCTTGCCCTAACGAGCATTTTCTAGCCTCCTTGCGCAATTCTGGGGTTTAGTATGTTGTTCGTGCAGTTTTTTAATAATTGAAAGCAAATGCATAGTCTACTGGAACTTACTTGATTGCTTTGAACTCAAAAAGAATATCTGCACTTGGACTCTGAATCAGATTCTCCCAAACAAGTCAAATGTGTAGTAAAAAAAAATGACACCAATGTGAATTCTCCACTACTACACGTTAAGCCTACCACTGCTGAACCGGTTCAGGCCAGTTTAGACAGGTATGGGGTGAACAAGTGTCGGTAGTGCAGACACAGTGGCATCGTTCTCTCTCTCTCTTCTCTCTCTCTCTCTCTCTCTCTCTCTCTCTCTCTCTCTCTCTGTGACATGCTGAAAAATGAGGGCTCTGTTTCACAGTGGACCTGATCTAGGCACTCTTTTTCTGCTTCTTTTGTTATTGGACTGGTCTATATTATTAAAACATGAAAAATTACATGCCTTTCAAATGTCTGACATGATCAAAAAATGTCTGATAAGAGATTTTTAATGTCAGACATAATGTCAGGCTGGGGTTTTAGAGGGAAAAAAAATTGAGTGCTATAGGATGATGTATCACAGGGGACACTTGGTCCGAGTTTCTTCTCCAGCAGGTAACACAACGTCATTGATATGTTGTCCAGAGATCAATTACAAACTGACTGATTTCTGATTCTCTGCATTTATTTCTCTGGCTGAAAGATCTGTAGTCTCCGAAGACAGCACGGACAATCCAGCGATTTCCACTTCGTTTTTTGTTCACTCTTCGCGTTCAGTTTTACACTCTGCTGTCTTCGAAAACGGTTTGCGTGCGCACATTTCATTCACTACGCACACACCTTTTACTACTAATACTATCAGGGCTTCCTAACCAGTGTGGCCATTGCATTATTCGATGTTGTCTCAGTGCAAGGTTTCCGAACGTTAAACGTCTTATTTACCTCTGTTGATATGCCATTGCCTTCTCTGTTAAAATCCTAATTTTATTCGTGTAAGTTTTGTGTCATACTACCTTCTGCTTTTTATCCCTCTTATGTGCTAAAAAATTTTTTTTTTCTTCACATTGTCCACTGCATAGACTTGTTAAATTAGGGCAGTCACGTGGCATGGCTGCTCACTCGGTCTTCACCGATGGAAAGTAGGTTGAGCAGTTTTACCACACTTCTTCCTGTCCTTTCATTCATATGCTAGTATCTGAGTCAAGGTATGTTACAATCGTGGGATGTAAATCGATTTTCAGTTCTTTATTTCTACGTATTAGGCGCGTTAGACATTAAATTTGAAATAGATCTTGTTTATTTGGAGTGTTTGATGCTGTGAAAGTGCTGTTTTTGTGAATAATTTCCAACTTAAACCGCTTTGTATGCCCGTTTAACATAATTAAACTGAGACTGATTTAAACTTTACTAGGAGCTGAAGCCGTGAATGAAGTTATTCAATCCTTTTAAAACTGGAAACATCCTTTAAAACTAAGTTACAGTAATTTCCAATAAGTAAAATACATCAACAAATTCATGTTATATCATTATAACTGAGACATCTGAACAAACTTTACCAAAAATTGATATAATTTGATGTAAATATGGAAGTTTCAAAAATGAAATTTGGCTGTGAAATCACCACTATGACACGTGTATGTAGAAAACTGAGAGTTCAGCTTCACTATTACACTGCATCAAATAAAACTGAGGACTTAGCCATAATGTGTAGATATAACTGATATTTTGTAAACACCTGCTGTTCAAACAATGCCACAGGTGAGTTGTCCAGGTCACATAGATTTGGCACTCGGCCATCTTATTACAATCACATGGTACTGTAAACAGCATGGGACGAAGCAGCTACTGTATATACTGCAGATCCCAGATTTCCTTTATTTTTTTTTTTTTGGGGGGGGGGCACAAGGATAAAAAAAATGTGTCCTTAGGGCAGTTAAATTCTAAAATGTAAAGTGAAGGGATAAAAAATTGCTTAATTTTGTTTTGTTATATGTATTTAAGGAGGAAAAAGGGGTGATATTTCAGGGGCTAAGGAAGGGGCGCATATGACCCACAGTCCCTCCCCCTGGGTCTGCCTTAGTGTTTATATTTGTTTCCCCATATACTAATGATTATTTATTTTTGATTAAGAAAACATTGTATTGATTATTTCTTTATTGTCAATTTGTTGTTCCTTTGATCGAAGAATTTCTATTTGGCTTAAGTCACATTAACATTAGTAATATAGACATGTATTTGTAGTTAAAAAGTATTATGGAAATATAGAAAAAAATTCATTTTCTGATATCTTTTTGTCTCTGCATATTAGTTTTGGTAATATTTATTTGAATCTTCACCTGCATCAGCATATATTTTATCAATTCTTCCATGATTCACTCAACAAAATGACTATTCCCATTATATATTTTATTAGACTTCACATTTTAAACAGTTACAAAATATCTTACGATTTATAATTTTTTAGGTTTGTTGACGTTTGTGAACTGTGCCAGTGTAAAATGGGCCAACAAAGTCCAGGTGTTTTTCACCGCAGCCAAGCTGTTAGCCTTAGCTATTATCATTATCACAGGCATTGTCAGGTTTGCTATGGGTGAGTGACAAAAGAAAACACATTTTTACCACTACTAGAACTTTGTGATTTAAATTATATATATATATATATATTTTTTTTTTCCTGGTCTGGTTGTAACCAAACTAAGTACTGGACAATGTGTAGTGGTTAACATACCTATTCAGAGGTCAATCTACCTATACAGTGGTCATACTATATCATGTTTATCTAAATCATTGCAGTGGTTAAATAATAATATATTGAAATAATACCCCCTGTCTTCTTAACTCTGTGGAAGATTCACAACATCACCAGTTTTTTTGTACTCATGTACTTATTTATTTATTTATTTATTTATTTATTTATTTATTTATTTATCTATTTACTTTTAGGACATACAGAAAGTTTTGAGAATGCCTTTGAAGGCTCCTCAGACCTAGCTGGAGACTATGGCTTAGCCTTCTTCTCTGGCTTCTTCTCATATACTGGATGGTAAGACAGATAATTTCTTCTATCTATGAACGGAAATCTGAACTTTTATATCTCTGTAGTCCTGTAGGATTCTTTAGGCATACTTTTTAGAAATTGATGATTAATTTGCAAAATAATTACCACTATTTCATAACCATGGTTCAGAGAACACCTTTTCGGCATTTGACAAAAATTACTCCCTTTGTGTCATATATTCAGTTTGTTTTGCTCAGTCACCAGGTTTGTAATTTATCCACTAAACATAAAACTGGAGACTTCTGACTACTTGTATATGCACCCTTTTAGCTAAAATTAACGAGAAGAAAACTGTCAGTAGTTGAGATTCTCAGGGAATATGTGTTTTTGAAATAGATGACCATACATAATTTGTCATTCCAAAAATATATATCTTGAATTGGAAGTTTGGAATATGATTTTTCTACAGAGGGGAAATCTGAAAGATAATCATTGTGTTTGTTATGCAAGTTGTGTTACACTGAATGAAGTATAACTCAGAAAAGAATCAACCAAAAGTGACCCACCATCGTATCAGCTTTTGTTTCTCCTATTATGAATCACTGCATGTCTGGTTTTGAAGTTGTGTTGATTACGTATTGGAAAATTTATCAGGCCAGTAGCCAGCAATTTTAAAAGGGGGGGGGGGGGTTCTTTTTCTGAAAAAGTGGACCTTTTACCGAAAAATCCCCTTGTACTTATGTCAAATTTTACCCAGAGTGGATCTTTTTTCAGCAAAAAGGGGGGTTCTTTCGAACCTCCCGAACCCCCCTGGCTATGGGCCTGTTTATTGATAGGATTTGTTCCTCCCATTATTATTTTATGGTATTGCTCATTTTATACAGCTGTTCTCCGGACACTCTGGTATTGTACTAGACCCTTTTCACATAGAGCAGTATACTTCAGCTCTCTTATTTACTAGCCAGGATATTAAGTTGTCAGTCTCTCCAAGTGGACTGATCCAGTTAAATGTAATGCTTGATGAGGAAAGGGTCCTAGTAAAAGGCTAGGTCATTAATGCAATCATGTGCCTATTCCATTTTTAATCAGAATTTTATGTACAGTTGAAAGTCCTTTTTTGTAGATTTTTTTGAGGTAAATACAGCTTTTCTGAGAAAGTACTTTGTTGTTTTTTAAGGTTATTGACTTCTTTGGAAGAAAAAATGATTGGATTTCAAGATTGATTCTCAGGAAATTCCCTGACACTGATTCCCATTAGCTTTGATTAAAACAAAGAAAATTGGCCTCCTTTTCTTACAAATGAATTAGTTTTCTCATTTTCTTGCAGGAATTATTTGAACTTTGTAACTGAAGAAATAAAGAACCCCAATAAGTAAGTACTGTTTTTTTTCACTTGATAAACATTTTATTTTAAGAGGCTTGTTCTGTCAGATTAGCACATGACCTCTATGCATGTGTAGTGGAAAGAAAGAAAGCGCACAATGAAATAAAATAAAACAGAAAGTATATCTCCTGAAGGGTTTGTTTTATAGGGGAACCTGCTCTGTTAAAAAACCAAACATGATGAGGGTTTTAGATGGGTTTTTGGTGGGTTTGCTCAACGGAAAAAAACCCAAGTAAGATATAGGTTTCCCAATGGTTTTGCTCTATTGGACATCTTCCAGGTAGCCTTTATTGGAAAATAGATATATGTAACCTAAAAACCCTTTTCACCCAGAGATTGGAATTTGGATGCATAGCATTGTAGTGTAGAGCATACCTCTTACAGTGTGAGATGGGTTGTTTTGGGTGCAATATATCAGTGTGTTATGTAACAAGCATGGTTTTTGTGTGTCGTGAACTTAAGTGTACACAATGAGTTGATGGAAAATTATTATTTTTGTACAGATATAGTGATGATAAAGAGTGGCAAAAGTACAAGGACGTAGTCCAGCATTTTTAATGGGAGATAACAAAGTTGCTTGCTTCAGATGGTGACCCACACCAGCAGTAAATATTTGCATGTCATAGTTATTGAATGTTTAAAGATTAAAGATTGTTTGTACTGAAAATGAATTTTGTGGATAAACAGATTTGCAGCTTCTGTTAGTCTTATAGGAGGTTCCTCTCTGCCAACAGCTATTTAGGATTCAGTCAGGACCCATGGTGAATGCAATTAGATTAAAGGATTGTTTACAACTTATTTTTTCTGACTTTTTCATTTAATTGCAATCTCTCAATGGTCTCATCCCTGTTTTTTTGTGAGGTCTTTGATTGCAGGCATTGGTAAGACACATTAAGTATGCTTCAGTGTAACTTCTTGCTTTAATTTGTTGGTGACAAAAATAAACAATAAGAATCAATCATGGGAAAGATCTGAAGAAGGAATAGACAAACAGCTTTGAAGTCAACTTTGTTTGAACAAACAATTTGAAACAAACAGTGGTCATTTTAAGTATAGATACATTACTTATGATGACTACAAGGTCCTGCTGCTTGGTCATATAGAAGTTCAGGAGTTGGTTAAAAAAAAAGAGGGGGGGGGGGGACACCACTTTCTGGGCTCTTAAAATGTATAAAAAGATAAATTTGAGTCATTTGAAGTCATTTTCTTCTCAGTTTGGTCACTGTTGGGGTTAATGAGAGAAGCAGGGATTATCAAAAGGGTATTGATGACATATAGTTGTATATCTATAGTAAATTATGTCTCTTACAACAAAGATGCCATTGATGTTTAGCAAGCTCTGCTGTGGGTGCAACAAGCTCTACTATAGCACCAGATATCTTCCCCTTTCAGACCAAATATTGGTCTAAACTTTTAGACAAAACATTTTTTTTGACTTAATGTAATTCCGTAGTAGTCAGTCCATTAAGATAAAATATTGGACCTGTTTTATGAAAATGAGAGAAGTGGAAATTATACTTCATTTATTTGAGAGGGCCACTACGACTTATACCTGTTTTGATGGAGACCAGAATTTACAGACTTTAAGATAAGGCCATATTTTCATCCCCAGTAGTTAATATAAGCTATAGTGTTGGACAGTCCATTCAGTTGTGCTAGAGAATGATGAATTGTGGAACATAAAGAAGTGCACTTGAGAGTGGGAAGTCACGTGAACCATAACGTTACAGATTGGTGGCCATCACCTGTTTGATGTTCATGCAGGTATCTCCTTTTGTCATCATCTACCATTGCTTCTCCTCCAGACAAATATTTTTCCTTTCAGGTATTTGTATTATACAATACTGCCAGTTCATCAACATTAATCAAGTTGAAATAAATGGCTTTAGATACATTTCTCTTTTTCAACAATGGACCACAGGGCTATAGATACATACTGTTGTCTCCAGTGCCTTTTTCATGAATTTCACATTGGCATCTTTTAGGACTCGTTTCAGGATGAAAATTTTTAGACTTACATTTTGAACCAAATTGAGGCTATATTTTGCAAGACAAAAAGTAGTGAAATATATAACCCTTTCTTTGGTCAAATCACTATTTTTGATTTCTTGACAATTGGTTATTATAAAAGTGTGAACTTTCATTTGTGGTTGGCATGAATAAATTTTGCCCAGTAGCAGTATACCGGTACATGACATATGATACTTTGTATATGATATTTATACATTGTATATACTATTAATCTCAGCACTGGAATCTTGTATTACTTTGGATGGAGGTGATAAAAAGATAATAGAGTGACCTACTATAACCATGTTGGAATAATTACCTGTCCATACCTTATTAATTAGGCAATATGGATCAATACCGTGATATCAGGTGAACCGTCCACAGAGGTTTTTTGCACACCTGTTAGCCATATATTCCAAAATGTATGTAAGTTCATACAGGTTTACTTTAGTGAGTTCACTTGGGATATTGGCTAAGACCCGTTTCAGAAATGAACTCTAGCCAGAGATTGGTCTCATAGTTTTAGACCGTAATTTCAATCTGGTTTGACCCAGGGTAAATCAGTAGTTGTTCAGTTAATTGAAACAGTGCACCAGTTTTCAACTGAGAAAGATATGTCTAACGTTACTGAGGAACACCATGGAGTTAACCAAATGTTTGGTTGAAGTGAAAAGGAAATATTCAGATTGAATTATATTGTAAAAATGGCATCAGATCTGCTTGTATGAACCTGGCATTTGAAAAACAATAATTTTGGTGGTTCATGTTAAGCCTCTTTTTCAAACACTGTTCTATCGAAAAAAAATCTGGTGTGAAAGGTTCATAGCTAGATATAAAGATGGTGTATCAGAAAAATGTACTAGATCTTGGATGAGGAAGAGTGAATTTTCTGTGTAACTGTTCACGGTGGGCATCCTCTATTTTTTGTCCCAACTCCCCATGCCCAGTGAGAGAGAAGAACCACATGCAGTTTGCACTTACTGCACTGGGAAAGCACAGTTCTCACAGAAGAACTTGAGTTGAAAGTTGGTCACAACTATCTTTAAGACTGAAAAATTCAGCCCACTTTGATATCAGTAATCAGTAGTTGTCTACTTGGTTGAGAATATCAGGCTTATTTTACAAAAAGTAAGAAATGATTAAAAGTAACCAAATTGAAAACCATATTTTCGTGCCAAATTGAATTTTCTATGAGAAGAGGCAATATTCCCTTTCTTACCTTTATCTAATATTTATTTCATTGAACTATACTTCAGATTTATTCTGGAATGAAATCTTAAAAATCCATCTTGCCTTTGATTCATCAAACCAGCATATCTCTCAAGCAATTGTATCATGGCATCAATTAAAGGGGAAATTAATGCTAATTAAGGGAATTCAAAGGTACATGTCGGAGTTGGAATTAGGAAATTCAGAGGTACATGTCGGAGTCAGAATTATGTCTGTGTTCACTACACGTGTCACAAAACCAGAATATGAGACAGTAAATTATGCTATATGATCTGGCACTGGTATGGTGCTGTCTTTTTTGCTTGTTTGTGTAGAAAAGAGAAGTACATGCTAACTTAACAAAACTGCTGAATTCTGTATAAAACTTACAAAAACTGGTAAATTTCCCTGAAGGAAAGTGATAGCCAAGAGCATGAGTTTTTTCCTTTATCAGCAATCTCTAATCCCATCTTATACATCCTACTGGTCTTTCATGCACTAGTTGTATAACATAGCCAGGTCATAGCAAGATTAATTGCCTGGTATTATATATATAGAACAGGCTGGATAAATGCAGGTACCAGCTGCACTCATTGACTGGGTTTTGATAGAAACAATTTTCCCGCCATTTTCCGCCAGGTGGACACCAATGAATCACTGTTATTATAACATTAAGTGTTGGCATTGGATGTTAAGTCAGATAACCAATCCTCTCCACCCTAGAGATTTCACTGACGTCCAGCGGCTTAATGGATAATTTTCTCTTTAAAGCAAGCCGCTTTAATCTGATGAGGGCATATTGTGATAAGCACGAGCCTCAGTGACCAGATTTTATGTGGCAGTTTTCCTTCGAATAGATCAATTACTATCAGTCATGGCTCAGTGATTTATTCCTCACTGAGATAGATGAAGGGCATTGCTATGTAATAAGTAGAATTTTATTTGGCTGCAACAAGCACACAGAAAGCAGTCGCTGCTTTGTAAATTGATTTTCTTGAAGTGTGTGTGTGCTAATTTCCCCCCTCCCTCAAATGTGAGCCATTACACATGACCTTTGAACTAATTTTACCTGTAAAAGCATCTTTATCTAGTTTCTGACCTCTGGGCTTGTTTTTTATAGTGATGTGCAAGATCTGCAAACTTTCTCTCTCTCTCTCTCTCTCTCTCTCTCTCATATCTAATTTTGTAAAATTAAGTTCATCCCTTGTTCAGAAAGAATTGTAAAGGTGACTTAGGTGCAGTCTAGTACAGACGTCTCATGTCAATTTTTCAAAAAGATAAAATGCACATTGCATGTTAGATGGAAGTGAAGTCTCAAATATGGCCGTGTCTTTACATTGTAATATACAAGGTCACATAACTGATGTCTGTATCAGAGGTATTAATGCGAAGTCATTCGTGCTGATGCTAATCAGTCTCATTTGAGAATGTTTTATTTATTGCCTTATTAGGGCATATCCAATTCCTGTCTTTCCCCCTCCTCTCTCTCTCTCTCTCTCTTTCTCCTTAACATGCTGCAAGTACTTCCAGCAGTTTCTTCTGTGCAAATTGTCACAGTGCAGTCATGTGTATTTGACCAATGGTTCTTTGACCACTTCATTGTCCTCTGTATTGATCACCTTGTTCCATATTAAGATGCTCTCATTGACCCCAATATTGATGGATATACTTGGCTGTATGTAGTGACCTTGTTCAATGAGTTAGAATACACTTTTCGTATGTTTTTAAACTCTGATATTTACATGAACTTGATTCTTATCTCATCCATAATGTGCCCTGATACTCCTATAGTTTATTGTGCCCTATACAGACATAACTTTCTTGTGTGTTATTCCAAAAATTTTAGTTCAATTCTGATGGGATCTAAGGCGTATTCCAGTGATTGGTCTCAAACCCAGGCTCATGTCTGCCCACGTCTGCTTTATTTGTGATAACCGTGCACAGTGAAATTTCAGGTCAGATGGTATTTTCCAGTATACACAGGCCCTGATAACCCAATTTGGGATAAGTTTCTATAGTGCTTGGCATTCGTTCACAGCTCCCTGCCCAATCCCTCTTCCCCCCCCCCCAATTGAAACNCTTATCTCATCCATAATGTGCCCTGATACTCCTATAGTTTATTGTGCCCTATACAGACATAACTTTCTTGTGTGTTATTCCAAAAATTTTAGTTCAATTCTGATGGGATCTAAGGCGTATTCCAGTGATTGGTCTCAAACCCAGGCTCATGTCTGCCCACGTCTGCTTTATTTGTGATAACCGTGCACAGTGAAATTTCAGGTCAGATGGTATTTTCCAGTATACACAGGCCCTGATAACCCAATTTGGGATAAGTTTTTTTAGTGCTTGGCATTCGTTCACAGCTCCCTGCCCAATCCCTCTTCCCCCCCCCCCCCCCAATTGAAACTCCTGAGCCCTAATGATCTAATGATGACACACTCTCTCTCTCTCTCTCAGACCATCAAAAGGTTTCATTATTTTACTAGTATCTTAAGGTGATCTGTAAGTCCATATTAGTCATAGAACCAAAAGCTGTAACCTTTATAACTTGCCATTACTACTACGTGAATTTGAACTCAATGACCTCTATGTCTAGAGGGTACCCAAGGTACTCCTCAATTTCTTCTCATTGTCAGTCTGACATTTCTCTGATATAGCATGTAATAGATATTTGTCTAGTTGAGTTTGATTAGGCTCTTTTTGTTATATGCTTATCTCTGTTTTCATAGTCATGCCCACGTTGTGAGTGTGGGATAAGAAATAGCTTTCCATTAACTGGCATTGCATCAGGAGTGGGGGTTTCTGATGAAACAGGCCGAGAGCCAGAGTGGGTGGGATTTGCGGTTTGCTCAGTGCATGTGTAAACAGCGTGAATGGATATGGATAGTGAGTTTGAAGGATTAACGCAGGGTTGATTAGTATGTATCAGTAATCATTAGAGAGACTTCCTATTGCATCAGCCATTGAACTAGCCATTGGACCAGACATATTTTTTTCAAAATAAACAGTTCAATCCAATGGGGACTATGAGCTTTTGATTTGAAATTGCCGATTAAATTAGCATGTATCAGTAATCATTAGAGAGACTTTCTATTGCATCAGCCACTGAACTAGCCATTAGACCAGACACATTTTCCCCAAAATAAACAGTTCAATCCAATGGGGACTATGAGCTTTTGATTTGAAATGGCTTAGTAAATTAGCATGTATCAGTAATCATTAGAGAGACTTCCTATTGCATCAGCCATTGAACTAGCCATTGGACCAGACACATTTTTTCCAAAAATAACCAATTCAATCCAATGGGGACTATGAGCCTTTGACTTGAAATTGCCTTTTTATAGTGTAAATTTATGAAGCTAGATATTACCAGCAATCAGAAAGAATAATTTAAATGATGGAACATATAAACTATGTTATAGTATGAGCACAGGCAGTAAAAAGAAAAGATGAAAATGTGTTGATTTCCCTTACGAATATTTCCTCTAGGATGTTCTATAGGATTGATATGTAGGGTTCATATGTCCTAAAGGATTTTTTGTGGCCTTTACACACTTCCGTAACTTGGTTTGTCTATGACTGAATTTTCTGTGTACAATACAATACAATACAATACAATACAATTAAGGTTATTCTGTGTTGGAATGAATGAATTACAGGCATTAGCTGAGTAGCTGTTCACTGACAGAATAATACAATGTTTGCATACTACTATTTCTTACTACTTCTTGTGAATGAAATTTTAACAGAAAATTAAAGCATAACAGATGGCATAGTATGATACATGATTACAGCTTATCATTTAAGTTAACGTTAAAACATCATCATTTCTCTGTGTAAATGCAGCCTACAACTTGATTCTCTATGTGTAAATACAGCTATGGATTGCCACCTGTTCAGAACATATGTGATGATTTGTCATTTAGTTCTGTGTGGCATCTGCCTATGGCTTTTATATATCTTTCATGTGGTATATGTCTAATTGGACCTGTCTATTTCAACTTAATGTCATGAATCTTATATATGGGTCTGTGTGGTGGAATAATGTGTCTGAATTTTTTTGTGGGATTAACTTAAACATGCACCTTGATTTTATAGTCGGTAGTGAATATATGGCAGTATTTGATTTCACAGTACTACATGCTGTTGCCAGTATGTGTGACTTTGCTTTATAAATATTTTAAAAGGGCCTGTTTCAAAGGGGTCTTTATGATATTTGGAGAAATAAAACATATTAAATGTTTGTTGTATTGGGGACATGAAGGAAAATTGGCCCTTCGGTTTCCGTTAGCTCTCTCTAGCTCTCTCTCTCTCTCTCTCTCTCTCTCTCACACACACACACACACACACACACACACATGAGAAGGATAACTAGTTGATTGCATTCTTGCAGAGCTTTTTGAACTCTGCAGCATGGGGGTCATAAGTTCAGACCCTTATGTCTTCTGTGTCTTTTATTGATGATACTTGACACCGAATGATATCTCTTCACCAATGTGTAAAAAGGACAGGGATACTCTCTGTTGGAAAATAAACTAACACCCCATTTCCATAGATTTTTAGATCGATCTATCCTTGTGGGGAGTCTGACTAGATTACTGTCAGCTTGGCCGGCTTAAGCGTCTGTCCCGCCTACTAAAAGCTGTAAGGGGGTAATTAACTATGGTGCCCGCTCGGCTGACTGCAATTTAGCGTGAACCCCCAGGGAGTTAGGTCGATCTAAATCTTAATCTTTAGATTGATCTAAATCTCTGGGAAAGCACCTTAAGATAGATCATTGTTGTATTCAGTGGATGTCCAGGTCTGTAGTTAACAATTCAAAAAGGATAGATCATTTCCATGTGGTCAGAGTGTCTGCCTCTGGAGCTAGGGATTGGGTGAGGGGGATGGGATTTTGGTTTAACCCCCCCCCTTCCCGGGAGCAGTCCTCTGTAGGATAAGCATGTACATGTAGAGATTTGAAAACATGGGAAACTTGCAAGCATCCGAACTGAAACGTCTGGGTAGGGGACTGTCAACTGGAGACATTTATGCTTCTTTTACACGTATATCTGTATCTGTTCCTATTGTTGTATTGGTGTTATTCTATTATTTTACACAACACAACCAAACGCTGTGTTTGAGTACTAGTACTGTCATGTAGAAAGCTGTGCTCTAAGTTGATTATGATTATTAATGGGGGTGGGGACTAGGAATTACCAACCTTTTTTTTTTTCAACAACACAATAACTGCAATTGTTCAACAAGTCTTTAAAAAATTTAAAGACTTTTTGCACGAAGGCCACCCCATCAATAAATGAATAAACAAATAAAACAAATTTTATTTATTAAATCTATGGAGATTCAAAAGGTGTCCATTCCCTAGTAGATAAGTAGAGCAAACATATACCAGCAAGTGCGGCAATATGAATATATTACACAACTGGAAAAGTTTTAAAAGGGTGAGGATCCAAGTTTCAGAGTATTTTGTTTCCTGATATACAATAGCGGATATCACTAAAGGATGAGGCTTAGCATGCCTCATTAATATTACAATGAGAGGTTGACCATCTTAGACTGGGTTCCCACAGATTTAGATCAATCCATCTGGATCGACCTAACTTCCTGGGGGTTCACGCTAAATTGCTCTCAGCTTCCGGGAGCGGAGCGCGCACAAAAGTTAATTACTCCCTTACAGCTTTTAGTAGGCGGGACAGACATTTAAGCTGTTTAAGCTGACAGGAATCCAGTGAGACTCCCAGGGGGATAGATCGATCTAAATATCTGTGGGAATGGCCTCTTAGATTGTGAGGAGAAACTAAACCTTCTGTTGGTGAAAATTGATGGTGTTATCTTTGTAATAGTAGAAGTGTACAGATGGGTTCACCGTTGTATTTCACTGAATGTGATTTTGGATAATTGGAATGGTTATTAATGTGAGACGTATATCATTGGAATCAAAGCAGTATTGAAGTAGTTAACATTTGTCCATGACAAAGTTTATTGCAGATTATACTTCTGCCAATACCATCTTTGCTGGGCAAAATCTTCCAGTGGTGTTTTGAAACTGGACTTCATTTCTGTGAAATCTTACTGTACTATTTGTTAATTTTTTTTCTCCATAAATTGAATTTTATATTATGTGTCATTTATTTTGAAATAAGAACATGATTTGAATAAAATGATGAAACATTGTGTAGTATTATAAGAAAATGATAAGATTTCTTTTTTTTAATAGACTTATTTGACAACTATTGAAGCGATTCAGATCGATTTCAAATCACCTTAGTTCAAAATATATATTTTGGATAATAAAGTATTGTTTTAACAATTTTATAAATAGTCGGAAATGTTAAAGTTTTAATGCCTAATTCTGGTCCTACAGTTTCTGTCAATAAAAAGTTAAATAATTTCAGTATTATCTCCGTATACTTATCAGTTATAAAAAGGCAATTTAATAGGACATTATTATATTTTTCTTTATTTTTCCTTTATAGAAATCTCCCCCGTTCTATCTGGATCTCTATACCTGTTGTCACTGGTTTCTACATCCTGGTTAACATTGCTTATTTCACCGTTTTATCGCCAGCAGATATGTTAGCTTCTGATGCCGTGGCCGTGGTAAGTACAGGGAAAAAATGTTATCTGGGACCCATGTTTCTAAGGAATTTAGTTGGTTTGTTGGTCTAAATTACATTTAAAGGAAAGGGGGATTTGTTATTTGCGATACTCCATCAAAAAGGAATTTGATCATGTTTGTTTTGTTTTTAAAAAGTGACATCTTCAGTTTTTTCATACCAACATTACTTAAATATGAAGTAAGTCAGTTTTTCAGTTTTGGTTAATTCTAAAACATAAATTGTATGTGGTTAAAGTGAACCTCAAAATTGGTCACTTTCTGTAACAAATAATAATAATAATGTTAATAATAATTAATTAATTAATTAATCATTATTTATTAATTTCAGACATTTGCAGAGAAGATGTTTGGTATAATGGCCTGGATTATGCCTGTCTTTGTGGCTTGTTCTTGTTTTGGTGGTTTGAATGGATGCATTATTGCTTCCTCCAGGTATGCTTAATTTTTAGTGAGTGGTCATTCGAAGGAACAATGATTTGTGAGGAGAAAATTGCCCTTGTTTTTGAAGAAAGTTCAATCTGGTATGAAAATTTGTGGGTGGGATATGTGTACCATTTGCTATAACCATGGTTTTTCCAGTTCACTTCTCACGGATGTGGGTGTGAAATAATATTTTG